AGATCCTCGTCCAACGCACGCACCCACGCACACGCCGCTGCGGAAATCCCAGTTCCCGTCGGCACCAGTGGGCTGCTTAGCTCTCGGTCAACCTCCAGGTCTAACATCGCCATCGTGTCGCGCGACTCGTGGTTCTGGCTGTGCCTATCACTTTTGGCTCTAGCTTAGACTGTGGCTCGGCGGGTCCTGGCTACATCCGGTGGCTGCGGTGCAATCTCGGTGATGCCCGCTTCTCAACTTAAGCTCTTCTTCGATTGACTGGACCCTGGTCGAGCTTCGACCGCAGTAGTGCCACATTGCACGACCACGATCGTCGAAGTGGAGTCGTTCCCACGAACAAGATGGCTTGAGTGGGGTCCTGAGGGGGGTCCAAAGCACAGGCAGAGGCTGCACGGATCAGTCAGCAGCTCACTGTATCGTACTCTGAAGCTCCACCAGCGTGACCCGAGCGCTGTTCGCCTTGCTGTCAAGGGCTGGCTCTCCTGTCCGTAGTGCGCCTTCTGCGTGCGCATACACCTCAACTTATCCCCACCAGATCCTGAAATGAGGCAGTGAGACAGGCATAATGTCGAAGGCCGCTTCACTGTGGAGCCGGCGATGCCGTGCAAGCCTCGTACGGCCAAGAGACGCTCGGACTTATATTCGCCAACCCTCGTGACCACTGCCTCTTATCACTTCGCATCCAACATACCACCTTTCGGTCCTCGGACAGCATTGCTGACGCTCTGCAGGTGGACTCCTCCTAGACATCAGCACCTGACCCGACATCCTCAGAGGAGCAAGCCGCGGTGTGTCCTACGCCGGCCGTCGAAAGCCTTGCTCGATGGCGCTGTCAAAGGCCGCTTACGACCTTGTCAGGTGGGCTGTTCCGGACTTTCACGACAAGACGCCGTACGACAGCTCCAATGTGTGGACGCTCGCTGCGCCGATTCTGATCATTGGGATCCAGATCCACCTGCTTCTGCGGTACAACCCGAGCACCACGCTTCCTCTGAGAGCCTCGCTCATCCCCGTCGCCACGATCTTTGCCCTCAAAGGTGCATATGCCCATTACTACACGGATACCGGTGCAGATCAGCTGAACGGTCGAGGTCAGCACGTCAACATTGCCATCGGATGCGGCGCCATGTGCATGATCATCTGGACCTTTCGATGGGGCCTAGTCGGCCAACGTCCCAGACTCAAGGTTGCTCAGAAGCCAGCGGAAAGCAACGCAAAGAGCGCCGATATGCCCGACCGCAAGACCTCGGCAGTCGAGGAGCTTCCTCTCTACTTTCCAGGTACGCGTTGGCCTCTTGAGCTGGACCTTCTCTTCGGAATCAGGGGCATTGGTTGGGAGCATGGCATCAAGGACGGTGTGCCAGCTTTTCCTGTGCCGTTCTTCACTCTCCGACAGCGCTGGCGATGGGTCTTGCGCACACTCGCACCGGTGCCTCTTTACTATCTGGTGTACGATGCCATCTTCACTCTCATTGGAGACGATCGCTTCAACGTCCACGCTGGCTCGGCCACGGGCGGCAGCATCTGGGCTTGTCGTCAAGGCTTCTTCGGTGCCGCCGGTCCGTATCTGATGTGTGCTGCATACGGCATCACATTCACTTGTTCCATGTACCTGCAGCATGCCGCCGTTGCTTCCATCGCGGTCGGTTTATTCGGTGACCCGCCTTTGCGATGGGATCCTCCTGCATTTAGGCAGCCTTGGCTGTCTACGTCGGTGCATCAATTCTGGAGCAAGCGATGGCATCAGTATCTCCGCTTCTCGTTTCTCGCCGCCGGCTTTTGGCCGGTCCAGCCCCTTGTGCAAGGCATGCTGGGAAGGCGCGCAGCTTACGCAGTTGGCACGTTTGGCGCCTTTCTCGCCTCGGCCGCTGTCCATCACTTTGGCAGCGCTGCTGTGACACCAGGACACAACCTGAGAAACCTTGAGGTTGCCATGTTCTTCATCATACAGCCTCTGGCGATCTTTGGCGAGCAATTGTGGCAGCACTGCACCGGATACCGCGTCCGTGGTTTCTTCGGATGGCTCTGGACCATGACCTGGATGCTTGCGACCGCCCCTCTTCTCTTCGATGTAAGTTTCGTCGGATTTTGATTGCAGCAAAGCACACGCTCTGCAGTACTGACTAGACTCGATCATGTTCGGCCACAGACTCTCACTCGGGCTGGCATGCTGTCTGCACAGAGCATCTCGTTCGGTCTAACCCAGCACTATCTACCGCGGGCGCTCGACTGGTGGGACGACTTCAACGCGACCAAGTAGGCATGCGCAGCGACTCCCTGACAAGCGCGACCATAATCAGTCCAGTAGCGCTCATTAGACCATATCAAGCATATGCGTTGCAGATGAGGCGGTACAATTACAAGTGGTATTACAGATGCAAAGCAGTGCGAAACCATGCGCGAGTCAATGGCACTGAAGGACGGGACGACGACGAGATTCGCCGGGGGTATCATTGGAAAGAGAAGCTGCCGTAGCGAGCAGGGCCGTGACGAGAGATGCTTAGATGTCGACGTAGCCAGACGCGCCTTCTGCGCCTGCACCGTAGCCCGCGCCAGTAGAGTCGAAGGGATCTTGTCGGCCAAACCCGCCGACGTCGACGGTGCCTGCTCCGCTCATCTGCACTTCGGTGCGCCAGGCGCCCTTGAGCGAGCTGATCTGAGCGATGAGTTTGGTGCAGCCCTGCTTGAGCGCATCGGTGGGTGTTATCGATCCGTCCGTCTGGATCTTGACAAACACCTTGGGCTCGAGCGGGTGTGGTACCTTGTATCCGCAAAATAAGACGGCAGGGTTGGCGAGCACAGCGTGACGCAGCATGTTTCCGAGCGTGTGGTCCTCCTTGTTGAACCAGAACGTGGCGGCGTTGGGGATCTTGGTGTCCTCGACGATCTCGACGCGCTTCTCGTCAGGACCGAGGATGAATAGGTCGAATCGGTTAGGAGCGTTCGTCATGGTGGGCAGCGATCAATCTATCTGAGCAGGTGTCGAATAAGAACTCGAGTCAGTATCCTGTTTCGCGTAGCGTTGGTCGCCATGAGCAGAGATAGACTGAGGACAACAGGACGCGTGCGCAGCTGATAGCTTAAAGGCTCATCTACCGTTGTAGTCTAGGAATCAGTGGACGCCCCAGACCCTCTCGACACACTTGTCAGCGTTTGAGAGGTATCGTGATGAGCGTCCTCAAACAGTGTGAATATAGTGTAATCTTCGCCGTTCGCTGGTGCGTCTGACCAGCTGCGTCCGACTCTGTTGTCCTCTGCCCTTCGTTCTGTTCTCTGAGCGCTGGAGCGAGAATCGAGCTTACCTTAATTGATGCCGCAAGCTTGTTGAGGGTGGAAGGGGGAGCCCGACGCCTGAACAAGGGTGAGAGTTGGGCGAAGGAGCGATGTGACGACCTCGACTCGGCAGAGTACAAGGGTGGTGGAAGGGAGGAAGACAGATGAATGAGGAGACGCGATGTGGTCAAACTTCTGCAAGCAACGAAAACTTTGGCGGGCGTTGGATGAGATGAACAGAAGGGCAAAGTGAAGAGAGAGGCCGAGGGGCGTCCTTCTGATTGGATGGTGGCAGCGTCGAAAATGCGATCGAGACGCGAGCCAAAGGATCACATCTGCTGGCGCAGCAGTCTGCGCTTTTCTTCCTGCTGCGGGCCATCGAGGCAGCAGTGTGATCTCGCACGACAATCACGAGGTTGTGCCGGGGTCTAACATGTTTGAGCAAAATTCCGGCAAAGCGGAGCCGACTCCGGATACGAAAGTCGCGCATCGAAACGAGAGCCATCCACCGGTGCGTTGAAAGCCCGGGGCACCCCACACTCGCCGCCGCCCGCTGCGCAGTCTCTCTCCACCTTCACACGTCCTCGCTTCTGCTCCGCTCGCAATCGTCACAAGCAGCACGACGCCCTGTTCGGGAAACACACCGAAACAACTCGCTGAGATCAGGTCAAGAGCAACGTCAACAAGGACCGGTACCCCGCAATCTCAACCTCGCAGACAGATTCGACTACTTTTTCGCTCGCCAAATGTCGGACCCATCCACCTCGGCCGTTGGGGCCCACCAGTCACAGGTGGCCTCGGGCCCCGTCCGTCCGGATATGGTGGCGAGTGCCATCAGCTTCCTTACGGATCCTAAAGTCCAGACGTCGACCATGTCGCAGAGGGTCAGCTTCCTCGAATCCAAGGGTCTGCGTCCCAACGAGATCGACGAGGCCATGCGCCAGGCGGGACAGTCGCAAGTGTCCGGACCTAGCGGATATGCGTCGTATGCAGCTGGTCCTCCGACACCCTACTACGCCGGAGCGCCACACCCAGGCGCCTACCCGGGCTCGGCGCAGGCGCAGCAGCAGGGCCGAGACTGGCGTGACTGGTTCATCATGGCCGTGGTATCGGGCACGATCGGCTACGGAGTGATCTCGCTCTCCAAAAAGTATCTCATGCCGCACCTCCAGCCTCCGAACGCCAATGTGCTCGAAGCCGACCTGGACTCACTCACAGCCAAGTACGACGAGGTGGCGAGCCAGCTGCAGGCGCTGGATGCGCAGACGCTTGCGGTCAAGCAGGGCCTGGACGAGCAGAAGGCCGAGGTGGAGAAGAGCATCAAGGAGGTGGAGGACTGCGTCAAGAGCGTGCGCGAAAACGAGAAGCGCCGCGACGGCGAGCTGGACCGCGTCCGCGACGACGTCGAGGGCATCCGCAAGGAGCTCGGCAGCCTCTTCGAAAAGTCCAAGCAGGCGCAGACCAACTCTCTCTCGGAGCTGCAGTCGGAACTCAAGTCTCTCAAGTCGCTGCTGGTTTCGAGAGGCACTGTGGGCGGACCCACCGCCGGCATGCATGCCGGTGGGGCGCCAGCTCCACCTCGTCCCTACGGTGTCGGCTACGGCGCAGGCTCGTACGGCTCGCCCACGATCGGTACGCCGACTGGCGACGCGAGCCCGCCTCACATCCCCAAGCCCTCGATTCCTGCATGGCAGCTGGCCGGCGCCGGCTCGTCGAGCGGCACCGCGACACCCAGCAAGGCACCAGAGGTCGAGCAGACCAAATCTTCGGACGCAACCATGGCGGACCCTGCTGAGGAGATGTCGAAGACCGAGGGCAAGGCGGCGGCCGAGGCAAGCACCTGAAGCGTTCCGAACATAGCCCCGATGTGTTGCTAGCTCCTCTATCTAATCACATTCCCAAGGCGCTTGTACGCAGCTCCTGAGCAGTATGCCCGCCTTGTTCGTGGCCTCAGTCGGCAGACCTGACTTGAAAGTGTACATGTGCGGCAAGACTGCCTGGGCGGATCAAACGGCTGGACCGAGCGCGATCTAGTTCACTCCTTCACTGATCGGAATTGTCGAAGGTGGTGTGGCCTTGACCATGCCGCACCTCCACTTTCCGAGCAGTGCATGCAGATCATCATACGATCTTGCATCGTGCGGAAGGAGTGTGCGAGGTGTGGAAAAGGGGTCACTTCGCGGCGGGGGGCGGCCGAACTGGGGCCGAGGCGGAGACGCACGGTTGCTCGCTCGCGTGGTCGGACGTCGAATTCCAGGGTGCGGTGTGCCTGTGGGTGGACTGTGGCCCCTGACTGCCTGCGGCCAGCCACTCGCTTAAGCCAGAGGAGGGGAAAAAAGGGTTCAGTTGGCCGCCCACCCAACACTCTGCTGCACCGGCAAATTGGACGGGCAGCTCAGATTGGCTTCCAGCGTGGCCTCGGGTACGGTTCCGTGCGTTGAATGGCATGGCCTGCAGTGCCACCGCATGGTCCCGTCCTTGTGCCCCTCATCACGCTGTTGGTCGAGTGGCGTCAACAGTGCGAGTCTATCAGCATCCGCCTCATCACCACCACCTTCATCTTTTCCCGTTCCAACCGACAGCAAACTGGTTTGCATACAGCGTCGGCGCCGTGCAGCAACGCAATCGATCGCGCACGGCATCAACCATGGCAATCGTCGCGATGCCGTCGCTCTCGAACAACAAATCCATCATCCCTAAACGGCCGCAGATGGGCAAAATCAAATCTTGGTCCGCCGGACTTGGCGCCAAGCTGTCTGGCAACAGCGGCGACAAGCAAGACATAGCCTCCGAGGTAGAGCAGCGCAAGAAGGGCATCGACAGCCTCTACACTTCCACCGAAGCCTACTGGTCCTACCTCGGCAAGAAGAAGCCTGTGCCTTTCGACACCTCATCACTGCCTGTTGACGACACTGCCTCGGTGGCGAGCAATGCGGTCGCTACCAAAACTGAGGGCAAGATGCTGCCCGTCGAGGCACTCGGCCTCGCCATGGCCTCGTTCGGCGCCGTCTTTCCAGAGGGCTCGCCGTACGGCGCCTGTCTAGGCCTCCTCGGAGAGGCCCACGCCAAGCTCGGTTTCCTTCAGACCACGTTCACCAAGGACACGTCGCACATCTTCCTAGCACGCATCGCGCGCTCCAAGGCCACGCTCGACTCATTCACCGCCGCCCTCAAAAAGCTTGACAGCGCTACGGCTCGGCTCGAGTCGGCACAGTCCAAGGTGCAGAAGAGCAAAAAGGAGAAGCGCGAGCTCGAGGAGGAGCTGCGTCTCGCCAAGGCCGCCTACGACGAGGCTGTCACCGATGTCGAGGCTCGCGGAGAAGCAATCCAAGACGCAGAATACGACGACTGGCAGTGCCTCACCACCTACATGCAGGCACAGCTCGACTACATTGGCCAGGCGCATGCCGTCATGGAGCAGGTTAAGGCCATGTGGGCTGATGCGCCTGCACCGTCTCGCTCGGGAGCTTCGACTCCACTCACTCGCCCGCGGTCTATGTCTGGACCCAAGCTTCGACCAACCATTTCGCGTCGCTCGTCCGCCAAGGACGCCGTCGACATCTCGACCTCCTCGAGCCGATTCGCATCCAGATCGTCGCTCAGTCTCGCCGGCAGCGATCGACCTTCGTCAGCTACCGACGACTCGAAACGAGACAAGGACAAGGACAAGGACAAGGACAAG